CCATCAGGATTGGTGTTTCCTATTGTAATTTGCCTCCTGTCTGTTCAGTATGCAAGATATTTGGTGTATCAGGGGCGTGTGTTGCTCATCAGGGGAAACAGTGGGTGCCAGTGGTTGCAAAGGAGAATGCAGTGGTTATTACAGAGAATACAGTGGTTACTACAGTGGAGGCACAGGAGAAAGCAGTGGCTACTACAGAGAGTGCTAAGGGGAAGGGGTTACAGGAAAGTGTTGATCCGCAGCTACAGGCTATTTTTGCAAGCCCTTCACTAGATGGGGGCAGGATTGCTCCACAAAATTTGGAGAGGTCCTTTGCGGCTGTGGCTGGAACTGCTTCACCAAAATTGCCAACTGAAGATGAATTCCAAAGAGTTGTGAATGGTGCTAAACCGAGAGTCTGGAAGCCAGATAAAACAGGTGGTACTATCCAAGCCTCACCCTCTTCTTTCAATGTGTTAAGCCAGCTAGGAGACAAGGAATCAGGTAAGGTTATGGATGCCCCAAAGAAGAAAGAGGTGAAAAGGGATCAGTGGAAGGGAGGTGGGGGGAAACCCTCAACTTCTAGATGATTGTATTGTTTTGGAATGTGAGGGGGTTTAATAAAACCTCCAAACAGAAGGACTTGATGCAAGTCCTTCATAGAAACAAAGTAGATGTGGTTGCAGTATTAGAGACTAGAATTAAAGCAGAGAAAGCTAAAGATGCTGTTGAGGAAGTTTTTGCAGGATGGGAGAGATGTATTGAATGTGTGGATTCTAGTTTGGGAAGGGTTTGGTTGTTCTGGGTTCCAGAGGTCAAGATTCATGTGATTAAGCCTAGTAAAAATTTTGTGCATTGTGTGGTGGAGGATGTAAACAAGGATAGGGTCTTTTTGACGGCAGTATATGCTTCGAATGATGAAGCTGAGAGACAGGCAACGTACAGGGAGATTGCCAAGTATAAAGTTGTGGGGCTTCCTTGGATCATTGGGGGTGACTTTAACACTGTAAGAAGTCCAGAGGAAACATCAAATCAGAAGCAACTAACTAGCAGTATGGGTGATTTTAATGAATGGATTGGGGACATGGAATTACTAGATCATAGAACAGTAGGGCCACAGTTTACTTGGACTAACAGACAAGTTAGTAACCCTATTGCTAGGAAGTTAGATCGTGCGTTGGTTAATTTGGAATGGATTGAGAAATTTCAGAACTGTGTAGTAGAGGTGATTCCAGGCAATTTCTCAGATCACTGTGGGATACAGGTTAGTACAGCTGCTCCAATTAAAACCATGCCTAAACCGTTTAAGTATTTCGAGTTCTGGTCAGAGCATCCCAAGTTTCTAGATGTGGTTGAGGCTGCTTGGCAGGTGGAAGCTTCTGGGAATCCATGGCAGATCCTGCAGAAGAAAATGAAAGAGGTGAAGCAGGCTCTCAAAAAGTTCAACAGAGAAGTTTATGGGAATCTACAGGATCAGGTTAAGGTGGCTGCAGAGGCATATCAAAGTGCTAATGCTCAAGCCTATTCTGATCCTTCTGCAGTAAGTTTTGAGAAAGTTGTGCAGGCCAAGGATCACTTTATTCAAGTATCAAAAGCATATGAAAGCTTCTGCTGGCAGAAGTCAAGAGTATCTTGGCTGACAGTGGGTGATAAGTGTTCCAACTTCTTCTACCAGGCTGTAAAAATAAGGAATTCTAAAAGAGCAATAAGAAAATTGGTTAAGGAGTCCGGGGAGGAAGTCTATAAAATGGAGGAGATAGTAGATGAAGTGCTAGGTTTCTACAAAAGGCTCCTAGGGGAAACCAATGAAGAAATTACACCATGTATTGAGGCTATTCAAAAGCTGGTTAGACACAAGCTCCCCCAAGAAGAATGTGCAGGTTTGATTAAGCATGTTACCACTGATGAGATCAAGGCTGCAGTGTTTAGTATGAATGCACAGAAGGCCCCAGGACCAGACGGATTCTCTGCTGGTTTTTTCAAGAAGGCATGGGCTGTTATTGGAGAAGATGTAGTCAAGGGTATTCAGTGCTTCTTCATTACAGGTATGCTTCCTAGTGGCATCAACTCTGCTGCTGTGTCCTTGTTGCCTAAGGTTACTAATGCTGATACTCTTAGAAACTTTAGACCTATCTCCTGCCTTAACATCCTATACAAGGTCATAGCTAAGATCTTAACAGCTCGAATCCGTGAAGTAATGCCTTTAATCATAAGCAGCTCCCAATCTGCTTTTATTAAAGGTAGAAGCATTATGGATAACATTCTGTTAGCTCAGGAGTTAGTAAGTGGTTATAATAGAAAACATCTCTCATCTCGCTGTGCAATAAAAGTGGACATAATGAAGGCATTTGACTCTGTAAATTGGAGGTATCTGTTCATTATGATGAAGACTATTGGATTCCCTGAGAAGTTTCTGTTATGGATTAGAACTTGCTTACAGACTGCACACTACAGTTTTAACATAAATGGTAGTCTTTGTGGCTTTTTTCGAGCTAAGAAGGGAGTTCGGCAGGGTGACCCCTTGTCACCCTACCTGTTCACCATAGCCATGGAGGGCTTATCCACACTCTTGAAGGAGGCAAGTCTATCAGGAGCAGTGCCTTTTCACCCTCTGTGTAAGAAAGTCGAGTTGAATCACTTATGCTTTGCGGATGATCTCCTCATTTTTACTAAAGGTTCTGCTCAAGCAATTGTTCAGGTAAAGGAAGTTCTCAACCAGTTCTATAGAGTGTCAGGTCTCAAGTGTAATCCAGCTAAATGCGAAATATATTTTGGGGGTGAGTCAGTTCAGTACAAAGCCAATGCGCTGGAGCTTTCAGGGTTCCAGGAAGGGGCCTTACCTGTCAGATACCTGGGACTGCCTCTTCTGGCAGGTAAACTTTCTTCCTCAGAGATTGATAATTTGGTGGATAAAATCACAAAGCGCATTAAAACATGGCGAGCTAAAAAGCTCACATATGCAGGGAGGTTACAACTCCTGAACTCAGTGCTTCTTAGTATAGTTCAGTTCTGGATGCAATTGTTTGTCATTCCTAAACTAGCTTTGAAACGGATTCAGAAAGTCTGCTCGCAGTTCTTATGGCATGGTGTTGCTGAAGGCAGGGCGAAAGTGGCTTGGGAATTTATTTCTCTGCCTAAGCAGGAAGGGGGTTTAGGGGTGAAGGACTTAGGAGCTTGGAATCAGGCTTGTTGTGTAAGGTTACTATAGCTGTTTCTTATGAATTCTGGGACCTTGTGGGTAGCATGGATGCAAACGTATAAATGCAGGGATTTGGACTTGTGGTCAGTAAGGGTGCAAGCTAGTAGTTCATGGGCTTGGAGAAAACTGCTAAAGTTAAGGTCTATCATCTATCCCTGGATGAAGAATCAGAATGGTACTGTTTACTGGGACTCGAAAGAAATGATGGTCTATTCTACTAAGAGGGTATGGGAAACCCTGCGACATAAGGCTCCCAAAGTTGCCTGGTACAGTTTGGTTTGGGGCAAGAATTGTCCCCCGCGTTGTAGTCTGATAGTATGGTTAATTGTCAAGAAGGCTATTGTTACGAGAGATAAGTTGCAGAGATGGGGGAAAATTAGTGATGCATCATGCCAGCTTTGCAGCTCTTCACTTGAGAGCAGAGATCACTTGTTTGTTCATTGTTCTTATTGGAAACAGCTTGCAGGTGAACTGCAGTGTACAAAGCTGCTGCGAAATGACTGGGAGCAGATGTTGAGGGCGATGGAGAAGGTTGGGACATCGAGAACAAGACTGTGGCATGGTCTGATGTGGTGCTTGATGGTGACTTATACATGGAAAGAGAGATGTGGTGTGATTCATGGGTCTCAGCGTCGTGCTCCTGCTCAGGTGGCAGACCTGATTCGTGATGACTTGCAATTTATAGTCTATGGCAATAGGAGTTACAGAGACATACTAGAAGAGTTGGGATACTTGTAGACAGGTTCACTTTTTGGTTCTTTCCCTGTTTCCTGACAGTTGCATAGTTGTTAGTAGCTTGATACGGTAGAGATTGTTGCTGTACTCGAGATTCGTCTCGCTTCGTTGTGTCGGTTTACTTGGAATAAAAGCAACTGATTCAACGAAAAAAAAAATGTTATTATATGCCATGTATATTTTTTAATGTTTCATTTTGTTTTTGACATTAGAAATAGTGAATTTTTGTTTTCAATTCGTTGGTACTTTAAGTTCATTCACTATACTATCATGCTCAACATTTTTTTGTTGTTGTTATTATTTATCGAGTCTTAGGTTATAAATATATTTATGTGTAATTTGTATTATTTTTAGTGCTACACAATATGTCGCGTACAAAAGAATACATCGCGTAAGAGGTGGTCAGGACGATTTGCAGTCGGTATGTTACTTTGCATTCACATGATGTTTTTGTAAGTGAGGTGAAGGAAGATTTCAATAAGAGTAGGGGCAAGAGACATTGATAATGACGAGGAAAATGTTGCAAATGATGCTGAAATTGTGTAATAGTTGATAACATTAATGACAGTGATAATCATATGCATAAATGTTGATAACGTTGCTCCCGAATATATAATATTGTGGCCTGCTATTTCGAGTGTATTTATAAATAATGCTTTGAGATATATTAATAATGTTATGCTATTTCATTAAAAAATTCATCCCAAAAAAATGATATATTAATAATGTTCTGCTATTTCGACTGTACTCATTAATTATGGTTTGATATTTATTAATATTGTTCTGCTATTGCATTGATAAATTCATCGCAGAAAAATTGATAATTAACTCATATGACTAACTTCGCCAATAGAACATATCAATGTATGTTTCGAACCATGGAATAATAAAACGTCAAATGACAATCGACCCTAAAAATGTCAAAAATAAACTAGCATTCAGCTCTCCTCATGCGGATGCAGACGGGGTTATTCCACAAGGACTTCCATCCGTGCTCTCTTGCACCATTCCAAAACTCTAGGAAAGTGAGAGCATAAACACCATAGGAAGTGCCGCTTGACTTCCTGAACCCAAGGACATTCTCCCATGTGAACTTATCGAAATTTATCTCTCACTTCACTTGCCAGCCACAAAAAGCAATGACGTACTGGACAAATTTCTTCCCCATCAGTTTGTACTGTTATTTTTCCCACACTTCAGGAAAACTGTGCATAAATTGGAATTGCTTCTTTCGTATATCAACACAATAGACAACAAAGTATATGCCGATGCACAAAGGGAAAACCACTGCAAAAGCGAATGTATGTGGAAATTGTTAAAATGGTGGATAAAAGGTTAATAATGCGACAGTTAAAGAACAAAATGAATAAATTCGATCCATTAAAAATCACACATTGATAAAGATTTTTTAAATAATTATCCCACCACTACACTATTGTTAATTTTATTGTTTGAATTCTTAACGAGTGACTACATCGCTATGACAATACGTGGATTACTTAATCGGAGGTTTCCAACAACATTATTAACACACTAAAGTTACAATTTTAACAATATTCAACCACGTTATCCACTCATATTATTATGCCTTATTAACCAACATCGCGACTATTATTAATTATATTACTACAATTATTAACAAGAAATGATATTGCTATGAAAACGTGATAACTAGTACATTTAAAATATTTTCCCTCCCTTAATAACATTTTCAATTACTTTATTAATAGAATTTTCAACTTCGGCAACATTGCCAGCCCATATTTTTAAGCATAATTAACCGACCAGTACACTATTATTAATTTTATTACTTACATTATTAACGGGTAACTACATTGCCATGACAATACGGGGAGCCTTTAATCTAAGGTTTTGATCAACGTTATTAACACACTAAAGTTACAATTTTAATAGTATACAACCACGTTATGAACTCATATTATTAAACTTCATTAATAGATCACACAACTATTATTAATTATATTGTTGCAATTATTAATAAAAAATTATATCGATATGAAAATGTGTTCATCATCAGTACATTTCAACTTTGTTCCCTCCATTATTAACATTTTCACGTTACACTATTAATATAGTTTTCAAGTTCACCAAGATTGTGAGCCCATACTATTATACATAATTAACCGAACACTAACCTATTGTTAATTTTACTACTTGGATTATTTAACTACATCAATATTATACTACGAGAAGCCTTTAATCTGATGTACCCAACAACGTTATTAACACATTACACTAACAATTTTAATAATATTCAACCACATTATCAATCCATATTATTACACCTTAATAACCGAACACTAACCTATTATTAATTATACAATTATTAACCGGTAACTACATCGATTTAACAACATCATCACCACTACATATCAGCTTTCTTCCATGCCATATTAACATTTTCACATTTCGTTATTAATATCATTGATAACAAAAAAAAAACTGACGAGATCACAAATACCTATCAACAATTAAGCTTTCAACTTGAGAGGAGATCATCTAACCACAACCAACGAAAAAAACAATTAAGGTGCTTTCACCAATGTATATCACCCAAACAACATAAAAACTTTCATACCAAAATCAAAAGGCAGTGCACGTTCCATGCCACCGCCGGTTGCTCAACCACCAGACGTCGGTCGTGTTCGTCGATCGGAAAAGGCAACGACGGGGCAACGAATAAGCTGGGATCGTCGGAGCACTAAGCGGTGGTTGCGCCATCCGCCGCTCGCCAGCTACGGACGAGGGAATTGTGGCCGGACAAGAGAGACACGACTGCAGAGAGGACGGCGACGGTGGGAGAGAACGACAGAGAGGGAGAGGATCAATGGTGGGAAGTTCTAGGGTTGGGAGGAGATGCATCTTTTCAAAATGGTTTATGGCGGCCGTTTTTTGGTTTGTGCTTGTGGGATTAGTTTCCTTTTTTTCCTTTTTATTATTACTGTCATTAACTTTTATGTATATTACATCCTTGCTCTTAGTAGATGGACTACGTCCTCAGTTGAAGGAGAATGGAACAAGCTTCCAATCACACCAGACGTGCCTTCTGCCTGCCAGCGCCACCTGTAATTGCCTCCATGGATTCACCAGACGTGCCATCGCGGGACCAGGCTGCATCAAACGCCTCCAATGGCATTGTTTGTCGACTGTCCTCCATGATTCCCCAGCCCTATGTCACAAAGCTCAACCTTACTTGGCTCTCACTATCTATGTATCTATGTCATGTGACGGAAAAAGGATTGCCCTGACCGTAACCTCGTCTGGTTGTTTATCACCAAGCATCATCACGGCTATGGACATTACCGCTCTCTCTTCCTACTAGTTGTTAGGGCTAGGCATGCAGGCGGGTCACCCGCAGGTTTGGGCCGATCCGCCCGTATTTAACCCGAATTTCGTTATGTGGGTGGGTGACGGTTGTGTTGGGAGGCATCCATCGGGTGGCGGATGGGTTGTGGGCGGGTGCGCGGATGACCCGCTCAACCCAACACCTAAAAGAACAAAGTTGTTGGCGCTGGAGAGTGGAGACACTACCAGAAACTAGGGCTACTTTTGGAGATCGAATCTCAAAGCCAATCTTCCAAATCTCGATTTTCCTCTTCTTTCCTATATTTTTTCCTCTGATTCTTGTGCCCAAATACACTCTCTTTCCTCCGTTGAATTATTTTTTTTAGTTTCCTGCACCTGATAATCATCTCCATTCGTAGAAAACTCCTCCATAATAGAATTTCCATCTTCTTGCTTCTGCCCGATAACTCTCCACCAATTATCTAGCTACTTGAAGTGGATCTCAAATTTGGAGGGTGAATGGATATTGAAATAAATTTTTATTTTACATATTGACATTACACAGACAGGGGTTCTGAAATATAAATGGATCATATCAAATTGACTCCTTTATATTATGTACATTGTGATTTGGGTGAACCCGCACATACCTGCATCATTCGCCATTCATCCGACCCAATCCAACCCGAGACTAAATGTTGGTGGGCAGTGTGTTAAAATTGTCAATTCTTTTAATCGCGGATAAGTACATTTTATGGTCAAAATCCATCCGACCCACTCAATGCCCACCCCTCATGGATGAATGGGGAAGGCTGAGTTGGTGGAGGGAGTGAGTTGCCTTAGCTTCGTTGCAGTGGAGGAATAAGAAAGAGAGATGATATGTGTTTTCAGTAGGTTAGTTTTGGGGTTTGCAGTAGGTTAGTTTTGGGTTTTAATGGGATAGGATCCAAATAAGAGAGAGTATGGTTGGGGTTTAATTAGGGGGATTAAGAGAGAGCCGAGAAAGTGTAAGAGTTACGGGTGAGAGTGGAGGGGATTCGTTGGGGCTTTTAATTAGAATACAAAGCCCCTTAATTAGAATCATAATATAAGAATTATGATTAAAATCAAGACTTAATTGTAATTCTCGAACCAACCCATTCCGTTATTATTGGTAGAACCAAATTTCAAAATTCGAGTTGTTATATTTCCTCCCGACTTATAAAATTTTTGTTCTCTGAATTGGAGTTGTAGGATAGCGACTGAGAAGTGAACATTTTTATTAAGAGACCTTGTGTTTGATTGAAGTTATCTTGGTCGGGATGTAAAATTTTCTTTTCGATTTAGAAAAGGACGGGGTGTAACATTTCTCCCCCCCCCCCCCCCCGTTGGGAAAATTTTGTCCCTGAAATTTAGTTGAAACTCATTCCTCTGCCAACATCATTCTTGTGTTTCCTTGCCACAAGAATTTATTCTCGCTATCTGAACTTTAATGGTGTTCTTTGCTTATCTCGAATAGTTGATTGTACCGTTTTAGTTTGATTAATTGGTTCAACTTATTCAACACTTGTTATTGAGCCTAAATCAATATCGAGGTATCACATTTCTTCCCCACCTATAGGAATTTTTCCCTCGAAATTTGGTGGCTACCATCACTCCGTGCGTTTGATCTTAATCGACTTTGTCCATGCAAACCTATATCTTCCCTTGCTGAACCGATCGTACTTTCCTCTCTAATCTCGTAAAGACATCTTGCTTCCTTGTTTGCTCGATCTTGAGCTTCACATACTCTTTTAGGACGTCCATGGGATTCCTAGTGATGGACGACTATATCCTTTAATTTTCCTGAACCACATGTGTGTCGTGCTCTACTACATTATTCCAATACCGATCCTACGAGTTGGTTTCTTTGAGTTTCCTTCGCGGCTCCTTTCTCGTTAGAAGAAACCCATGACCTCCATCTGTCCACCACATATACCAAGTTTCATGTCCTTGAAACCCTATTCTCGTTCAACTCCTACTTAATTGATGCATCTTTGTTGGTGTTTAGAGTAGAAGTCATCACACATATTATTCTACCTCCATCGACCTTGGCAAACGTTCCTCCTTCCTTCTCTAGATTGGTGATGAAAATCTCTTCGATAACATCTGAGGAGTTCGTTAACTGATTCACGAACTAGTATCCATCGTGTCAACGAGATACTTGATCATGAGAGCCTTAGGAATCATTCTTAGCTTATCATTCACAGACCCAACCTCCTTTGCCTCCTATCTTAAGATACAACTTGAGTTGGCCACGCTCCTTGCACCCTTCCTTTCATACTGATGATTTCCATACGCCTCAATATCTTATTTGATGATGTGTTAACTAAATCGTCCACCATTACGATTGAGGTCTTGACGGTATAGAAAACCCTAGGTTGAATAGAGCACTACCATACACCACTATGTCATTTCGAGTGGACACCCGAGGGAACCTAGCTCCTATTTGGTAGATAAAATTGGGTCGGTCAAGCTAGGATAGTACTCAACCTTGATCCGAATGATGGAACTAGGGAGATTCAAACCTAACAAGGCTCCAACACTTGTAATTAGCTAGGTTAGTGGTTAGCTAGGTTAGTTAGTTTCGTTTTCCCTAATCACTATTCTAGGTTGATTAGATAAAAAAAAACCTAAACCTCGAAGTAGGGTACACCTAGATCACCATGGTTCGATAAATTTTATTTCTTGCTTGCCCTATGCTACCATCCACCACTGCAGTATAAAGCTGTTTTTTGCGATTTTAAGATGGGGGAGCTTGGGTTCCGACCAAAAAAACCCAAGGGCATTCCAAAGAGAGGGAGAGTATTCTAGGAGGGTTCTTGCAGCTATTTTGGATGTATCCAGCCCCGTTGGAGGTAAAAGATCAAGCCTAGAGATGAAAATTGAAGATCTTGAGCTTTATATTGTTTTCTCTCTCCTCTCTATGGAATAGTTCTCCTCCACTTAGGTTGATGAACCCTAGTTCTAGATTTTGGATGGTTGTTGATGTATGTGACAATCCTATGATTGATTACTCATATTATCTATTTGATTGATGTTTATGATGACTTGTTTGAGTCTTGATCCCACTACATATCAATTATGTTGATGAGTGCATGTGTCAAGGGAGGGTTATGTGATTAAGAGGGAAAGGTAATGGTGGTGATTATGGTGGTTTGTGTACGTGAGGAGTGGGAGGGAGTAGATTGGATTGGTGGTTGTGAGAGTACAGAAGAGGGTTTGGAAGGAGTTGGATGTGGGAAGAAGAAAGGGAGGGAATAGCCGATTGGCTAAGTATAGAGAGAAGGGAGATGAGATGCTTTGATTAAGTGATTGTTTATTTCTTAATAATTCTCATTGACAATAATACGTAGACTTATAGTCTCATTCTCCTAACAACTACCACAATAACCCCAAATCTCCCCAAATATTCTCAATAATCCCAATGAATATCCTCAAATAACAATAATAATAATAAATATGACGTAATTAAAGTAACAAACTGCTGACACGTCACTAATTCGTGCCTTCATCATATGCTTTGACCTAAGAGAGAAAATATCTCCCTAGGTTTAATAGAGCACCTATGATCCTGCATTGTGGGTCTTTGAACGAATGTGATTGGATACATAGTGTCGTATTGGGTTTTCGTCCTTTAGTAGGAATAGGTTATGAATGTGTTGGTTGACTAGGTCGGTTGTTGGTACGCCTTTTCTGGGTAGAGCAATTGAGTGAATTGGACAACCCGAATGGGGATTCCAATCGAGTCTAGGATTCTCCTTGGTTATTGAATAAATTAATCTGGGGTAGTACTAAACATCGTTATACTGTATGGACCGGTGGGATTAATGTCTAAATGAGCTCCCACCTTGTAATTAGTTAGAGTAGTTGTTAGACTAGTTTAGTTTTTTAATCTTTAAACCTTGTTTTGCTAAGTAACAAACCGAAGTTATAGTAATGGTACATCTAGAGACCCTAGGAGTCGATAATTTTGTTACCTGCTTCCACTATACTACACCTGATCGTTGGTTATATTTGGCCTTCGATTGTGATAGTAGTTTAGAGCAAGCCAATTATCTATTAAGTATTAACTACCTACATTAGTCTAAGGGTTAGAAATTAGTTAAGTATTAGTTTAAAGAATTGAACCCACACCACTATTTATAGGATCCAAAGACTTCACGGGCCAATTCAATTGCGTCAGAAGAAACAAGTAATGAAACAGCCTACCACATTTTGCTTTTCCAATGAACAACATTATTATCAGGATTCATGTGTGTGTGACTCGTACACTGCTACCATACTATACTCTGCCACCCGAAGCTTGCTTTTCTACCAATCCAACATATGACAGAGAGACATTTAATAACCGAATGAAGGCAGGAGCCGAACATCAACTGAAAACATCAGAGCACGGGAGAGACCGAAATATTTATTATCCGAGTCTGCCTTTCTGATTCCTTCCCATTAAGATGGATGATGATGTTCTGAGTTCTCACATGAATGTCCAGTGCCAAAGATTACAAGAAAGAAAACCAAGGGGACAAAGTAAAAAGGTCACAACTTGTAGATGAACCCTTTAGTGAAGGTGGAAAGCAAAGAAGTGGACTGACTATATGGGCGTTTCGCCATCTTTTCGTCTGTCTTGTTCAAGTTCTCCCATTGTAGGCAGCAGCCATAGAACCACCATTGCTATGAACCTGCTGCAGCTTCTTGTGCTGCTGCAGATGACTGTTTAAGCCCCATATTCGAATTGTACCATCATCACTGGCTGATGCCAACATGTGTGGATTCACAGGATTCCAACTCACACAGTTTACGGATCCCGAATGCCCTGACAATTTCCCTATCAGCTCCTCTGATCCTCTATGCCATATATATACCTGCCAAAAATCATCATCAATGATTAAAAATAAAAACTTGGGTGATTATTATGCTAATGAGGACGACTCTGAGAATGGTTGCTTCACAACAAAAACTTTCAGATTTCTCATCGCACCCCCTTCCAATCTACTACAACAGGCCGCTGCAGACATCCTTGCCAGACAGAAAGACTTCCCTTTCAAATAAGTTAATCAGAAATTAAAAGAACCTCACGTACATAAAATACTGAAGCATGCAAGGATGGATATCCAGTAAGAACCAAAGGCTAAGTTTCTATGGACAAATAATAAGCTATTTATGTTTCAATAGTAACAAGTGTGGCTGTCAGCCTGAAATTTTCATACCTGTGAGTCTTCACTGCCACTGGCAACAAAAGCTTGTTCAGACCCTCCAAAACATGACTTGATGACAAAACGGGTACGCTTATGACCTTTGTACTTGGCGACAAGATTGATATCGCCATCTATATTCCAGAGATGGATTTCCGGACCCACAAGGTTAACCAACAGGTATCTATTATCCCTTGACAATGAGAATGAAGTTATGGTTTGGTCCTCCTCAATCACTCTCTCGGACTTCGCTTCCCTATCGAATAAAAGAATTGCAGTTTCCTTGAATATGGACATAATTTGCTTCCCATCCCTAGTGATTTCCAAATCTGAAATTCTGAGAGTTCGTTGACCTTTCCAATTCTCTACCTCTTTCCCATCCAAATCCCACATGCATATGCTCCTATCATTAACACCAGAAAATATCGATTTCCCATCTGGAGACCATCCACAGGAAACTAGACCAGGCCCAGATTTCTCATAAACATGGAGGCATTCACCAGATGACACATCCCAGCATCTAACAGACTCCTCAACGCCACAAGTGAGGAGTTTACCATCATCAGAACTCCACGAAACAGAGGATACAGGTTTATGGTGGCCAGACAGTTTATGCTTTAAAGAAACTTCACCATTTGTACCGACCTGAGAAAAAATAAATTGGCAAAATATCATTAGTACTGAAGAAGGAAGACAGAATGATAACAAGAACAAGGATTAGAAAACATAAAGCTAGTGTGCCTGGCTGCTGCAGGCCACACCGTGTGCAGAGTTCATAAACAGACAGTAAAAATTGGCAAACAACTAACACATGATAGTCCGAATTTTGTTTGCGGAGACTAAAAAATAAATTGTTTCGAAAGGTATGTTATGGCTTGTGCCCCATGAATTTCCTTCACCATGATCCACAACACCACATTGTGACAACAAGAACACTATCCAACCAAAAACTTTCCATTCAAATAAACTATGCATAGACGCACAAGATCTTCAATGGCTAAACCAGAAGCCATTTCATAGAGGAAGTGAATAAATAACAAGAGAGAACAACTAAATGTCTACAGCATAAAAAAAACTTCTCAATACCCACTTGAAGAGGCGATTTACTTTCAACCAAAAAAGAAGAAGCGATTTACTCTAATGGACTTAATTAAACACATGAAGTTCAATATTAACTTGGACACTTCTTTAAGAAACCAAAACACCACAACAAATCCTTAAGTGGACAAGCTCCAGAAAATGCTACAAGCATTTTCCAATGCCAAAATAAATAATGTGTACCTCCCATATGATTGCTGACTGGTCATTAGAGGAGGAAGCTAAATACTTCCCATTATGAGAAAAATTCAAGAACCAGACTTCATCAGAGTGTGCTTCTAATATCTGTCCAGAAAAAAAATAAGGATTAGGGCGTAATGAAATTGTGCCAGCAAAAGCATTTAATTAGTATCTAAACAAGTCTGAAACAAACAGATAAGTAAAGTATTAACCCCTGTTCTGGTCCACACACAGTTTTTGTTGGAAATGGCATAATCAATAGTCTACCTCAGAGAGTGAACTAGATTAACATACATATCATATAGAACTATAGAAAAATCTTAGTTGGGTGGATCTGAATTTTTTACATGAAATAAAACAGCTATACATGGAGGGTATTGTCCCAGCATATACAACCACACAAATTGAGAAGAAAAAGTTTATGGCTGTACTTCTTAACACATTCATACCCTTCTTCAATGTGGTTCTCTCTTTTTAACTTTAGTAGCACAAAAAATACATAAAAACTCTGCAGCAGAAATTGTCTAAACAATTCCTTGTGCAAAAATACAACTAACGAACGTGATTATCAGTCAAGAATCTCTAGTCTTATGCATGTTTCAAGCTCAGAAGTCAGAACTGGTATCTAGAGAAGGGTTCCTTGTTAAGAGATCAGCTGTGAGGATCAAATCAAACTTGTGTAAGCTATTTAAGTTCGATCTTCTTTGTGGACTACCATAAGGGCCCCCTGATAGATAGATAAAGGACTCCTTCCCTTTTTACCGATAAAAAATCTCAGGGCTGCCTCCTCAGCCCACACATGCAATTTAAGGATCAATACAACAAGCTCTCACTCGCTAAATGTTATCAGTTCAATGATTCCAATAATGGGATCTTATGACCAACTTTCATATAGTCTACAACCTAAAGATTTATTTGCAGTTGACACCACAACTACAACCATTAATAGACATGCTTTATTTTCACTTCTAACAAATGTACAAACTGCAAACAGTCTCCAAAATGTATTTACATAATCAGTTTTACATCTCATTAACAATACCAAGGAAGCATTTCTCAACTACAAGGCAAACTGTGGCCTTATAAAGCTCATTGCATTTACGAATTGTATGAGAGTGAAAAGTAGTTCAGAAAGAAGCAACATTGCTGTAAAAATGTTCAAACCTGTAGTGTTCGAGATGGAATCTGATCTCTTCCACACTGATGATCTGTGTACAATGAAATTTCTCTGTCCAATGAGTTGTGAAAGACGCAGGCATCTCGCTGCAAGGTCAGAGCCTGCTCAACTAACTGTTCTAACCGCCTTTCTGGTACCATAATGGTCGGGGGAAGAAGCTCTTGTAATTCCTGCAGCAGCTTTGGCCGAGACTTGGCCCTCAGATTAACCTGATTAGAAGACCCCACTGAAGCACCATGTGAAAAAGACACAAGGTTTGAAGAAAGCTCCCGAAGCTGATTGCTACTAGCACACAGATGAGCAATCTCAGTCCTCAAAGTTTTCAGAGCATCCATGACTTTGCCCCCGTCCAAAAGCTCAAAAAATTTCTGCTCCAGTATCAGAAAAGAGGCCGACTTAACAGTACTTTCATCCTTTAACCCAATGCTATGTAACGTAGCAACACTTTCACCCCAATTGCCATCAAGAATCTGGTGCATAAACATGTTCACTGCAGAGGAGTGTAAGGGTATGCCTGACTCTTCTTCTAGATGGGCACCGCTCTTCTTGTATCCAAGAGAATACAAGGCTTTGGCTATTATCTGGACGAATTCAACTTTTTTAATGACCCCTTTTGAACCAATGACCTCATCCTCTTCAGATTGCAGGAGGCGGGCCATCAAGTCTCTTGAAGACCCAAAACTTGGCTCTGATAGCAAAGAATCGTTTGGATTGCCTTTCAACTCTCTACAGGCTAATTTCATACGTTTCGATGCTGGTTCATCGTCCTCTACACCTCCCATGAAATGTGCAACTCAGCCCATATATCATACAAATGAAGAAGCACAAATCAATTGCTGGATGTTATAGAGGAACTGTCTGAGTAATCGCAAGGGAGGACTTCCTACGCAAGCAGACAGAAAAATATCATCAATACACAGTAGAACTAGAAACTATCCCCCTAAATATACAAAATGGGCTAGCAGCGGATCATCAATTTTCAAGAAAAAAGATCTCCCAAGACTTCAACTCGGAGCACAGACCTGGAGAACTGATGGCAGAGAACGATCCTGATGTGGACCAGTCTCCTTCAGAAATCGTCCTCGGGCTAGAAGAAACTTCTCCTTCCTCCGTCCCTAAAGGACGAAGCTCCAACGCCAATGCCTTTGGCTTTCTCCTTTATCCACTTCTCTTTTCCACGCCCTTCTGCTCCAAAAATTCACTTTCCGTCCCCAACCCCAGTCGAAATATCAACCGCCTGGTCTATCTATCCTCACCAAGAATCCCTTTCTTACTTTCTTTATTCATCAAATCGCTTCGCCTCCACTGGATTCTCCCACCGATTAACTCCGCCGAATCACTACCCAAATCCCACGTCTTTTCTCTCTCTCTCTAGACCCTGGACTATGGAATTTTCTCTCGTCTTTCTTATATATATTCACTGTTGTTGCGCTGCGTGTTGTGTTGGCAACCTCCGGACTTGAAAGCAATGGGTTAGAAAGCATAACCTATAGTCCGGTTGGACCGAAAATATAAGGTATCGAGACGTCAAATGTTAGATAATATTTATGTGTTATGTAACGGTCGAATTACGATTATCACAATTTCATTAAAACATAATTTATAATGATATTTTCGATATAACATTCGTTACAGTCTCACAAGCATTGCTTGAAAGCTACTACCCAAACATTTAACTAAAGTTGATCGGCTAAAATGCGAAACATAAACGTTTTAGTGACCTAGGGTAATGTATTTGTATTATGTTTGGATAGAACAAATTTTGGATTCAATTTATATATTGCCTATAGACTATAGTCAACTATTTTGTTGCTATGGATTGACACAATGCAAAAAGACGGGCATGTAGGATGATTTAACGATGTTCTACATAAGTATGAAAGTTATAGCAAGAAATATTGTCGGACCGATCTCAAGGAGATCGCTCAGAAACTAAATAACGATACTCATTAAGCCATTATTTAGGATAGTCACCATATGAAGATCATATAATGTCCTCAGTGACGAAGAGTTCCTAAACTTAAAGATTATCATAAGCTATCTATATGTTAGATATTTTATTTGGTACTATGGTAGGTACAAGTAGGTTGTCATTGCATATAGACTCAAAATATAAAACTAATACCACCTAAATTGGGCATGATCATACCCTCATTGTTAGATGCTATCATGTTCAGGTTCTTATAATGATCCATGAACGTGAGCTAGGTCTTGAACATCACAATCAAGAAGTTGGAGACCACGGTCGTGATGTACCCCCTGTTTGATTGTGATCTTTTTTTACAAGACACTGAGTGGTTCACGGCCAGGAGAGGGTAGATCACAAGCATCAACTTTGATCGTGATCTCAAAATCACGACCGTAAACGTAGGATCATACCCATGATCACATATGCTAGTAACGGTCAAGATCAGCTCAAAAACTTATCAAGACTTCGTTGTTTTGGAGATTAAGGGCAATCTGTTAAAATTAAAATGACCTTTTGATTCCCATGTCATATGAAGGCTCTTATAAGGAAGCTTCAGGGTGAGTTTTTTTTGTTTGTATTTTAATATTTTATTTTGATGATGTCATGGTTGGCGATGGGAGAGAGACTAGTTCTTCTTTTCTCCGCTAGTTTCTTTTCAGTGTCTCTTCAACTCTCTCTCTAGTCTCTTCCTTTTCCTCTTTTTATCTCTTGGACTGAGCGATTTTCTGTCCATCTGACTTCATGTTTTTTCCTTACTCAATTTTTGTAGATTTTATTTGCGATTCAAAGTTTTTTTCTTATATCTTTCTATTGTTTTTTTTTTGTCTTTTTTCTTACCACCGTCAATTTTTTGGGTGTTGTTGTCGTTCACATTTTTTTTATCATTGTTGTGGTCAGCGATTATGCTTTTTGTTTTGGGGTTTTTCACGTAATACACTAGTTCTTTAAAAAAATCTCCAAATACAGTAGTTTTTATAAAAACACATGTTTTCCCCTAGATCACATCCAACAAAGGCGATCTATATGTAAATCGCCTTACCCAAACGCGATTTAGGAAAGATTCCTTCTGTCGAAGTCGATCAGATTGGATCTCTGACATGGCAAGCAATTAACCACTCGATCGCTTTTCAAGGACGCGATCCGTGTTAATCATTTTTTAGAGACCCAATTAGCTATTACCAATGACGTTGAACGCTAACGTGGGATGCGATTTTGGAAAGGGGAGGAGCGGATAGCTGAGGTGGAAAGTGATCAATCGTTGATCGCTTTCGAAGGCCTCGATCCAGGCGCGATCTCTCCTACACTCCAGACGCACACCACCTGTGACAAACGCGATCTTGGCTCCCCTTCAGCCTATAAATAGACACCCTTCCTCCTCATTTCATTCACACCACCAACACCACAATCTTCCTCACCTCGCCACTCAAGGAATACCGGTATGCTCTGTGATTGCGGATCTTCCACATCTGATCATGTTTTCTTGAGTTCTGAAAAAACTTTGTCCCGCTAAAAACCCGGCTGAACCTCCGTCCCGCTTCTGCCAAAAATTGGCGAAGAGACTCATAGATACGTCATATATTTTATATTTTTTTGTTATTTATCAAGGTGAATCATGACCGAAGCTATAAGACCACTGTCTTAGTAAAATAACCATGATTAAAGGGTTTTTTTTGAATACTTATGATTTTTGCCCAAAATACTAAAAAAAAAGTTTTCATTGTATTTGAACATATTGTATTTTCATGATTTGTTTACAATCAATAATATTATATGATTGTATTGAAATGATTGATGGCGACAGATATTTACGATCCTAGATTGTATGACCAACCTAGCCTGAGGGATGCACAATATTTAATCAAGCAAGCAAATCATTGATCCCATGCGATTTAGAACCACAACCCGGTAGGCACGCCCTACCTTTAAAATCCTATTTTGTAATTATTTTAAAACGTTCCTATAAAAATTACTGTGCATTTTTTCTTAGCACTTGTTCACATCATCCATAGAAGGACCAGGCGCTTGCCCCCATTTCACGGTCGACTCTCGCCCTATCTAGAAAGGGCGGGGGTTGGACATGTCGTGAAGATGGAGATTGACAACGAACTATTCACAACTATGTCAAAGAGGTGGCTTTCCGAGACATATACCTTCCACTTTCTCGAGGGGGAAATGACGATCACACTGCGAGATGTCGCCATCCTCATTGAGTCGCTGATCATTGGGGGCCACTGAATTTTAAGCATTTGGGATTCAACATGCCGGCGAAAATAGAGGGACATCGTCAACCGCTATTTCATGTGGGTCAAGTATCAATCCTGTGGCTCGTTGATCATATAACGGAGGAGGTGATCAGTTGGATGCATTCACCCGAGAAGATCAAGTGGAGCGGTATGCCCGCGTTTATCTCATCACCTTGGTTGGTGGAGTGTTGTTTCCAAACAAGGCGAATAGGTGGATAAATTTCATGTGGCTACCATTGCTCCTTGGTGATTGGGACGTGATCGGGGCAAAGAGTTGTGGATCGACTATTTAGCTACGATGTATCGACAGCTATGTGGATGCTCGAGGCTGGGTACAAAGCAAGCCAGTGGTGCTATGTTCTTTTGACAAACCACTCGTTGGCCCTCTAGTAGGTCAGCTCCACTATTGTTGAAATAGGCATTGCTTGAAGGCCTTCGTACACTCCATTTATATTTTCACCATGGTTAGTAGTGGAGCTCCCGAACCTAACTCTATCATCTATATGAAAGGTCCACATGTGTAGACCCTGCTGCTCATCCCATGTTGCCCCCTCCTGGTTTATATGTCACATAATCTTCATCTTCTTTTCATATTTTTTGGGTTGGTTAGCAATCACTTCAAGATGGAAAACAATATAAATTATTTAATATAGGATAAAATCTAGGCACAAAAAATAGGAACATGATACCAAAAAAATATACATTCATGCCACAAAGAATTTTTGACAATCTTCGTGTCATATTTGTGTTGTAATTGGCTAGAAAGTGGCGAATGCACCAATGCCACGTCCACCCCCATTCATTAGGAAAGTCATACACGACATGTCTAATCCCAACGTGTCGGTCGAAAATGATCGTGATGCCCTGTTGCTATGTGACGTTGTCATATAGTTACTCGAAAAAACCAAGCCCAACTTAAATTATTCTCCCCCTCAACTAAGCAAATGCAAATGGAAAAATCTACATATTCCCATCAACACCAGTGGAAATAAGAAGGGTTCCCTTGTACTTTTCAAAAAGGAAGGTGTCATCTAATTGGATCGCTGGAAGGCAGAAATCGGACCCATCAATGCATGGCCTGAATGACCAATATAAGCAGTGAAAATAAGCTCATTTTAGACCCGAACTTGGTCCATGGTTTCTACATTGTTGAACTACGACATAAAAACAATATCGGGGTTAGACTCCTTCATCAATCTAGGAAGGAGAGTGTATGAGTCATCCCAGTCGCCATACATGTCAGCCATGTCCTTTTGTTTTCCATGTCATGCCTTCTTGTACCTTATTGTGTATGAATGAAGACCTTTCACCTCAGCCACGATAACTTTGATGGTGATGTCTGGTTGTGCCTTGATTAAGTGCTTAATAGTGGCACTCAATTTCTTTGCATTTAGTTGGAGGTGGTCTTGGGAAAGAATGAAGGAGGAGCAGGTGTTGTTGTTCTGCACCATGTAAATCAACCAAGCAAACTTTTTCTTCATCCATGTAGCTCGAAGCTCCCACCGGCATCCGTCTCCAACATTCTTTCATATGACATGGGGTGTTTTTTGTCAGAATATTTGATATTCCACTCAAAATTCCGTCGCATGGCTTTTTTTCTATAAGCATCACCAATAGGATCCTTAGTGGAAAATGAAATTCTCACCTCCCAATCGGCCGTCGAAATCCAAACTGGCATAAGAGAAAGTCGGGATCTTCGTTAAGAGCATGGTTGTCATGCCAGACTGCCAGTGGTATGCCGACTGGTTGAACCAGGTCCAACCGATACCGATCATGAAACCGGCTGGAATACCACCGGCATAACCCTTCAGTCAATACTGGGAATTTCGGTGGTTCAACCAGAATGGGAGATACCAGCCATATTATCCAAACGCTATCGTCTACCCCAGTTTTTGTAGGGTTTCAGCTGGTCTGGGAGATCGAAATCGCATCCCCGTTCCCCACTTCGCCTTGCCCACCACCGGTCTCTACCTCCTCCTGGAGCTGGCTTTCAATCTCCTCCCGGCACGACCACCTTCCGGTGACACCTATATCTGCTAGCAGCCTAGCAGCAAACTCCTCCGCCAAGGTGCATCTTTGACAGATCGGAGCAGCTCGCCATCACGTTCGTCTTCTTCTCGACGCGACTTCTTCCACCGACGCCTCGATTCGCTAGCTGCTAGTTCTTTCGGCGAGGCACGAGATGCGGACGTCCCTGTTTCTTCCTGTCGGTGACGATCGACTGGCCGCCAGCAGCCCTCGCCTCGAGCTCTTCCCCGTCACTGATTGGAGGTAACAACTTGGGCTTCTTCTATTCTCCAAACTCATTCGATATCCTTGTTCTTGGGAAATAGATTGAGCTGTAAATTACTTAAAAGCTTCTATCTATTTTATTTTTATATAATTTGTATTTAATTTGTATATATTCTTGTGCATATAATCTTTTGCGGGTGAAGTGAATAAGGTGATGATGAATTAACTATGAACATTTGTGAGTTTGTATTTAATCTTGTCCTAATTCAATTATGGATGT